GTAAAGCAGGATATAGGTGATGGCTCGGAAATTAGTACCAGGGTCAGGCTCTACAAGCCAAGGTATGAGATGGTCCCCTTGGAAGTAGTGAAACGGCTTCCCTCCTCTCTTAGAGCGACGTAAATTATTTGGTTCGTACGCCTGGTAAATGATATCTAATCAGGTGTACCATGTTACAGCTTTAAAACATACTAACACTAGTCCTCTACTTACTACATCTATTTTCTTCACTAGGACAGATTGCGAGAAAGAGGTGACAGAGGGGATAAAGCGTCAGTCTACCTGACATCTCTAGAAAATTCAGTTGACTTACAATCACTAGACAATTTGTAGTAATCTTATCTTGGGATTGGATAAATTGCATGGTGATTATTAAAAACAATGATTGGCATTTCCTTGAATTTCGGTGATTGTTCCTAAACGTTTGTACTCTGGGTGTACATGACGTTGATGTACAGGGGGAGCAATATATCCCCCCCCCCCCCCATTTAAGCAATCACCATTATAGAAAGAGTCCAACGAAGCATAAAGCTATTGAGAGAAGAGGTTATGTTCTGTTATACTCACGGGACTTATTGGTATGCAGTTAAAGTCCATGGGCATCTCCATGTATTTTAGTGCCTAAACTGACTGTAGTTTCAGGTTATGGTGCACTGTATTACAGGAAGTGAACTCTCTGGTCACCTTCCTGATGGTTATCCTCTACTCCTCTGCATTGACGACCTTATTGACCGTGTGTAGCGAGTGCCCAGTTTGTCAGTCGTTTATTTAGATAGTCTCTTATGGATGCTATTATCAAGTCCCGCTTACTGAATCGTGACTCAGAAATATCTGCTTTTGCTGTTCAAGATGGAGTTTTGTTTAACTTCCTTCGTCATCCCCCCTTCGGCCTATGTAACGGCGGCATTGTCTTCATTCCACGTTACTATGAACGAGTTGACCCACAACTTAGAGGGGAAGTTAGAAAGCCTACCTTGCTCGACTTAGTGGTGTGTACAAGTGACGAGTGGGAACGCGCACTTTAGACACATCTCAGAGCATAGTGTTTGATGAGACTGGCGCACTACAACTTCACTTGTTAATTAGCTAAATGTAGTTTGGTCAAGCCAGATTACCTATCAGGCTTTTGTATCGGGCCAAGGTGAGGTTGACTCCTATTGAGGCTAGGTTCTCGTGCAATTTCTGATATTTGCAGTGCCACAGGATAGGAAAGGGAGAATAAGTGAGATACAGGAGATTCCTGGGTTTATGGCAGCGATATTATTGCAGGGTTCTGTCAAACTTTTCTCAGATTGCCAGACTCCTCTCACTGAGCCTTAATAGTAGCAAAGTTCAGGTTCATCTTGGACTAGAGATGTTCAGACTCTCGTTCAACAAGTGTTGAAGTCGCTTGCCTATCCTCTGCTCTTTGTGTACACACACTCCCACTGTCCTAATTTCGATCTTCCATTCTTTTTACATATAGATGCGACGTGTGGGTTTATGCAGTGGGTGCTGTTGCTACTCCAACAGTCAACATTCCACTGAGACATTCTCCATCCTATATGTTATCTAATTTCACTCTAAGCTTAAACGACACCAGAAAAATTATGCCACTATTGAGAAAGACTGGCTCTCAGCTCCTTGTGGTTTGTCTGGAACATTTTGACGTGTATTTTGTTTTTTTCGGGCACTTCTCCCAATTTTAAAATAACGTTTTTTTCACAGACCCACATCATCTAGAACCTACATAAAATAAACCATATGAGAGTAAAATTGCTAGGATCTATGAGGTGGGCTCTCAGAATCCAACTTATCTATTAGTATAAAGCACATTAAGTGGTCCTTGTAATTGTCAATTGCTGGATGCTCTGTCACATCCTTAATAATTTTCAGTTATCATTAAGTTAACGTAATTTTTATGCCCAAATACCTTTTGTTTACTTGCTATAGTCAAATTCAGTAGAGTAACTTAATTACCTCCCCCAGAAAAAAAAAAGGGGGGGGGGGGGGGGGGCGGGCCCCTCCATTTTTTAAAATATTTACTATGTATACTCATGTCATGTCTAATTATGTATATTTATATAGTTTACAGTAACGTGATGATATGTGCTGTGAGGAGGAGGACAGGGAAGCTGAGTGTTGAGTGGATAGTGTGGTGTGGGCGAATGTAATGCGTTGACGGAACACTGTCCTGCCGCAGTAACCCCCCCTCACTACCACACCATTAGCGTGATGTCATACACATTGTCCATACTACCATTAGCATTCCAACAGGCCCACTACTTAAGAGTGGAATGCAGCGTTCCTTCTCTATGATCGAAGCCTTCCAACCTGCCTGCATTGTCTACGCTATCCTGTCTCTACACTGATGTTACAATAACCCACGGGAGAATGCAGGATACGTACTGTGTACTGCCCTTAGTACTAGGGTGGCGTAACTGCTTAGTGAAACAGACACTGTTAAATTATAGAAGTGCTTGGCATTAGAAATGACTCTGATAATGTTTAATTTATATTGTTAGTAAAGTAACCTGAGTAATCAGTAATATGTGTTGGAAAAGACAGTAATACAAACCCTAGTGCGACCGTTTAGTGCGTGTTGGGGGAGCGGGTGTTGCACCACTGAAGGGTTTTGTCAAATATATATTATGTATATATATTACATGTATATTACCTTTTCATATAATTTTATACTGCTTATATTTGCGATAATAGCTAAGTCATGAATATATTGCTTTATATTATTATTTGACTTAGTTATGTTGTTAGGTAGGATGTAACACATATATTATGTGCTTAAAGTTCAAGTCTTGATTGTCTAACTACTGTAATTATCGCTTGTGGCTCGTTTCCCTGCTGGCTTCTCGTTGTTGCTGAGCTGCAGCTGTCCACGGAGCTATCACGTGATCGAGGGGGGGGTGTCCTCACCTCGCCTGAAGTATTCAGTCTGGTCTAGACTCTCTTGGTGGTTTGACGTATTCTTGACAAGTGCCTAAATCTCCCTTATTGGCCCTTGTTGGAAGATCGTCTCTTGTCTCATTATTATTGTTAGTTCTGGAGACTCTGTTCACAGAACTTTGGATAGACTTAGTGATTTTCGACGTTGTACTGAGGTTGTGTGTCGCTTAGACACTCTGAGCAACTCAGGTCCTGAGCTGTTGCTTCTGACCTAACTTGTACTGGTATCTGTGCATTGTCACAGTCGGGTATTTTCTTATGCTGAACTTAGATTCAGTAGTATGGGAGTTTTGTGACTTTTGTGGAGGATCTGCTGATGGTCCCTACTAGCTGTCTTTATATTATCTCCTTGTTCCTGATTGTGTTGCAGTTGCTTGTTATATTGTTGTTTGGCTTATCAGTCATTTTATTGTTCAAGCAGACTGTTCTGATTGCCATTTGGTCAAGAACTTAGTTTGAGAGGACTTTGTCAGTCACTTGTTTAAGTCTAGTAGAGTCGTGAGACATAGCGAACTACTTAGAGCACTTACACACACACACACACAAACTTACTTGTACATATTTGTAATATCTTATTAAATGTTAACCCTTTCAGGGTCCATCCCGTAGATCTACGCTTTACGTTCAGGGTCCAAACCGTAGATCTACGCCATGAGCTCAGCTCACTCTGATAAACTGTGAGTGGTACATTTGGGCCTAGATATGAGAGAATACATCTATGTGGTATGTGTGCACCACATAAAACAGATCCTGCAGCACACTGTGTATAATGAGAGAAAAAAAATGAAATCATGATTTTTCGATTAAAACAGCAACTTTGCAGTGTTTTTTTGTATGTTTTTTATAGTTGTATTTGCGATTTCTTGGTCTCATTTGATAGAATGGAAGACATATTACAGAAATAGAGATGATTTTGATTGGTTTTAGCACTGGAAATGGCTTGAAACTGAGCTCAAAGTAGCAGAAATGTTAAATTTTTTGCCGATATTCAAGAGTAAACAAACGACCTCACACGTCTAATACACGTCAGCTGGTGGGTCCTAATATACATTCACAAATATGGTGATGATATTTATACAATTATTACAGTATTACATAACAGTAAATCTTCTATTTTTTGGTGTGAATAAAAATTCATTATGTGAATAAAAAATCAAAATGGAATTTATTTGTAAAGCCTCAAAACTAACTAATGAACAGAGGAAATGTTAGTTTAGTGCCGGAATGCCTACATTGTTCATTCTGGACCCTATTTTGAAATTGGAAATAATTTTGAACTTTGTGTTAAATTGGGCCAAATTAACAATTTCCGATCGCTTTATTTGTAGTTGAAACAGTTGACTTGGCGATTTCTTGTGCTCAATCGATAGAATAAAGTAATACTATGAAATAGCTAAGATTTGGTTGATTGGAATAATGAAAATTGGCCTAAAATGGAGTCAAAGTCGGCAAAATCGCCGATTCGTAAATATCGCTGACACATCAAAATTTGCGAGAGCATAATTTCGCCCAATTTTCCCCCAAATTTCGTACTTTTTGTTTTATTACCTTCACAAAAAGATTCTCTACAATTTCATAAGAAAAAATAACAAATTTTTTTTTTGAAAATTCTTGGACACTGGTGCGTGACTCCAGATTTGGGCCTTGGACCCTGAAAGGGGTTTTAAATGTACCGACGGTACTTAAGAATTATAAATTTTATATGTGCTTTCAGCACAATACTACTGTACATGAGAGAAGTGATTAATATTATTTTGATTACTGTGATTAATTTAATTCAATTTGATATACGCCTAGACAACTTAATAAATTTATTAAATTTTAATTTCTTTAGTTAGTAGCCTACCAGTTGTAATCCTGAAGCACTAATAATTCATACTGAATTATTATATATTATATTATCACACTGGCCGATTCCCACCAAGGCAGGGTGGCCCGAAAAAGAAAAACTTTCACCATCATTCACTCCACTGTCTTGCCAGTGATGGAGTGAATGATGGTGAAAGTTTTTCTTTTTTCGGGCCACCCTGCCTTGGTGGGAATCGGCCAGTGTGATACTGAATTCTAATGAATAATTGGACAAGGATAATGACTAATTGTTATGAAAACCCAGTAACAGGCTGGATGCTAGAAGGGTAGTCCTTTCTAGTATTCACTGGAGATCTCTAAGCTTTTAGAATCTCGTTTTTTGTAACAATCGTGGAGAGATCTACATATGCATGACAAACAAGAAGCTGCATTTTATCATAATAGTTGAAGAATTAAACATGTGCAACATCAGGGTTTCTTTATTTGTAGACGTTTTGCCATCCAGTTTCTTTATCAATACAAATTCAAGGACATACTGTAGAACTATAACGTATACAAAAGATGAGGTAATCAGTCCCCCAGTCTTGGAGTTGAAGAGTACTATAGTCTTCAGAAATCTTCTAGGTATTGTATACCATTCAAGTGTATGTTAATATTTGTAGTGATTTTGAAACTTCCCTTGTTTTGACAGTTGTAGTTTTGGAATAGACTTGAGTGGAAGTTATGTAAGTGTTGTAAACTGTGCAACTTCTTGAAAGGTAAGGAACCTTGATGCCATGCAAAGATGAGATACATCTAATGGAAATCAAGGACCCCAATGAAAATAAGTCACTTAGTCTGACTGTTTTGGGTTATCCTATGTAATTTATACACTTTAAACTATGTATGATAATTGTACTTGTGTGTATCTGTACTTCAATAAACTTAGGATCCATCAACTAAGTGCCCATCATACTTTTTATGGTTTAAAGAAGAGAATATTTTTTTTGTTTATCAGTTTTGGTGCTGGTGAAGGGCTTTTGATCCAAAGACTTAATTACCCTCATCTTCATCAAATCACCAAAGTCCAAGATTTATTTCCACGTAATACAATGTTTGTATCGAGATGGGTGATATATGGTTGTGCATGCAGAAAGCCCTTGGTTATGACCAGTCCCCTGCAGCATGGTCATGGCCCAGTCCGTGAGGGTGTTGACCCATGGAACACCCAGGTAAACTTTCCCCACCACCCCTCCCCTCACTTTACATCCCCAGTTTTCAACATTTTTTACTTGTCACAAGAATGTTTCAAAAGGAAATATACTTTTAAATTAATAAATAACAATATTTCTTTATTAGAAAGATTACAGGAAGTAATTAATATTAGTCACAAAAAAGTTCCAAACCCTGACTGTGTAATTTTGTGGTGAAAGTCTAGAAAGGAATATGAAAATGGACAAAGACTAACGTGTATTAAAACGCTACCCTTCAAGGAGTGTCCTTTCAATCTGTTCATGGCTCCTGATCCAAGGAATTGGAACCACCTTCCCTTTGAATTAAACCTGATTGGCCTGGTCACAGCACGTGGTTGTGCCCTGGTCACAGCACGTGGTTGTGCCCTGGTCACAGCACGTGGTTGTGACCTGGTCACAGCACATGGTTGTGCCCTGGTCACAGCACGTGGTTGTGCCCTGGTCACAGCACGTGGTTGTGCCCTGGTCAGAGCACCTGGTTATGCCCTGATCATAGCACCTGGTTGTGCCCTGGTCACAGCACCTGGTGTGACCTATGTAGCTCTTCTCCATTAAAATAAGAAGAATACACAGATAACTTGCATACAGGATATTGAAACTTATGACGATATTTTGGTCTGGCTTGGACCATAACAAGTAACACAACTTGGACCAAGTCGGACCGAAATAACGTCGTAAGTTTCTCTCTCCTACGTGTAGGTTGTGTGTGTACACCCTCTCCTCGCTTAACAACAGAGTTCCATTCCTAAGACCATGTTGGTAAACGAATTCATGGCTAAGTGTGGAGCATACTATAATGGTAGTGGGTTTGTGTCAGCCATTTTTGATATAGTTTTAATGTCACCTTTGCACTATTTATAACATTTCTGGTATATTCTTAAATGCTTGTACAGTAATGTACTGTATATTGTAATAAACAGAACAGAGGAAATATGCTCTAATATACATTTAGGTACAAATACTGGTCAGAGAGCCTGTCGTAAGTCCGATGTGTCGGTAAACGAGTACGTTGCTGAGTGAGGAGAGGCTGTATTGTTCCAGTCACAGTATTGTCTTTATAGTCTTCATAATATAACCATGAATATTGTAGTCAGTGCTCTTATGAAGCTCCTTTATACACCAATAATGCAATTGTTTTGTAAACACGACTGAAAAAATGCAGCCAAGAATTGAATAAAGGACGGGAATGCTTTCCCAGCATGTGCTATTCAATTTTTATGCATTCTTTCAATAGCATTTAAGTAAAATTACAGACAGTATATCGTTACAGTCGGCTGTTCAGCTGACTGTAACAATATACGTTAATTTTATAATCATAACTAACCTCTAAACCCATAAGATCATACAGCACTTCTTAATGATGTGCAGCCAGATTTGTGTCTTAAACCAATGTGTAAAACATAAACTGTGCTAACCTAAAAATTTTGACCAAAAATCCATTATTTTGAGTCAAAGTACATACTTAATTTCTTAGTGTTTATTGTTCTTAGACTTTTAACTTTTATCTAGCGAGAAAAAGGTGTTAACCCTGGGACATATACAGTAACATAGCTTGTAAATTATCAAAGTTCACAATGTCGTGAGTTTTCAACACTTGAGCTTAGAAATTGGAGCCACCCCTCCCCTTTCTCAGATCAAATATGATTACCATCCATTCCTTACGTGGTATGTGACCTCAAGTTTGGTATTTTCCCATCAGTGTAATAATAATAATGGTATGTAATAGTTTGTAATTTAAGTTCACTATACCATAATTATTCAACATTTGATGTTTTGTAAACTGTATACTTGTCTCTCGGATAACCTTGGTGCTGTTTTTTTTGTCCAGAGGATGTCTGACATTGGATGACTTCAGCAGCGGATTACACCAGTGTCATCAATATTGCACAAATAACCTGCACATAGAGAGAAGTTCATGATGTTTGTCTAATTTGGTCCATTTACAAAGGCACACTAACACAAGAGAGAGCAAGCCAGTATATATAGGAGGTCTGGACAGGGATGGGACCATGAGAGGAAGGAAAAGTAGTAGTGGCAGTGGTAAGGCTGGTAGTAGTAGTAGTAGCAGTAGTGGTGGTGGTGGTGGTAGTAGTAGTAGTGGTGGTAGAAAGTAGAGAGAGTAGTTTTAGTGGGACAAGAAATAGAAGGGGGAGTGAAGGGTGTAGGGAGACAAGAGTAATGGTAATGGCAAAAGTAATATTAACCCTTAAACTGTCCAAACGTAGATCTGCGTTCACGTGCATAGCGCTCCGACCTTGATTTTCCCCATTTGAAAGCATGTAAAAAAAAGTAGATCTATGTTCGGAGCCCTCCGCACGTGGATGTACATCTACGTTCGGAGCCCTCCGCACGTGGATGTAGATCTACGTTCGGAGCCCTCCGCACGTGGATGTAGATCTACGTTCGGAGCCCTCCGCACGTGGACGTAGATCTACGTTTGGACAGTTTAAGGGTTAATGGTAGTAGTGGGGTCATTCATAGGACAAGAGAGAGGGCATTGCAGGAGAGCTTCTCTTTCTTTGTGCAGGTTATTTGTGTATTGTTCCAGTCACGGTATTGTGCCATTTTGTTCATCAATATTGGTTAATATTGCAGATGACATTTCTAGAAAGATTTCGTGGATGACTTGGGCTGCATGAGATAGACTGGTAATGGTGTCAGTTGTGAAGGATGATAGGATGCCAACGTGTCACTTCTTGATCCATGGCATTGATGATGTCCTGCCAGTGTTGTGACCCACTGGGGGTGGTGTCCAAGCCCAAGAAGGAGTGGCCCAGGATGATCGTTTTCTTCAGCCTACCCAGGCGGACCAGCTTCATCTCGACCCAGTGCTCGCTCACCTGTGTCACATACCAGGAGAGCAAGGCAGGAAATGACTAATAGTAACAGTAACAGCAATTATGGTAAAAACGAACCGTACCCTTAAAGGAGGAGTGCTCTGATACGAGTAGACGAATTTTGATGCAAGGAGTTGGAACTGCCCTCTCTCTTCTGATTAAATCTGATTACCTTCCATACCCCATTCTCTGTATGACCTCCACAGATTTAATTCAGAATTATGTGTAATAATAATAGTTATAATAGTTGTAATAATTATAATAATGGTTATACATTCTCTTATGGATACACTTGCCCCAACACTCAGATTTACAGTACGGTATATACATAAATAAGAATTTTTTCTTAACATGTCAGCCATTTCCCACCGAGGCAGAGTGACCCAAAGAGAAAGAAAAAAAATAAACAAGATTAGATCATTATACAGTAGGGCCCCGCTTTACGACGTTTCGTTTTACAGCGTTCCGCTAATATGGTCATTTCAAATTATGACCGAAACACTCTATACAGCTCCCCCCACCTGACTTTCTAATACGATCACCGTACCCCACCCAGTTTGTTTACATTCTATATGAGATCTGTAAGCACTAAATCTCTCCATTATGTCTGGAAACTCCAAAATTTCAGATGTTTTTAAAATTTATTTCATATTTTCATATATATATATATATATATATATATATTATATTATATATATATATATATATATATATATATATATATATATATATATATATATATATATATATATATATATATATATATGTATGTTATCCCTTTCAGGGTCCGTCCCGTAGATCTACGGCTTTGCGTTCAGTGTCCAAACCGTAGATCTACGTCATGAGCTCAGCTCACTCTGATAAACTGTGAGTGGTACACTTGGGCCTAGATATGAGAGAATACATCTATGTGGTATGTTGTGCACCACATAAAACAAATCTGCAGCACACTGTGTATAATGAGAGAAAAAAAAAATGAAACCAAGATTTTCGATTAAAACAGCAACTTTGCAGTGTTTTTTTGTATGTTTTTTATAGTTGTATTGCAATTTTTGGTCTCATTTGATAGAATGGAAGATATATTACAGAAATAGAGATGATTTTGATTGGTTTTAGCACCGGAAATGGCTTGAAACTGAGCTCAAAGTAGCGGAAATGTTAAATTTTTGTCGATGTTCAAGAGTAACAAACGACCTCCACGTCTAATACACGCAGCTGGTGGATCTAATACACATTCACAAATTGTGGTGATGATATTTATACAATTATTACAATATTGCATAACAGTAAATCTTCTATTTTTTGGTGTGAATAAAAATTCATTATGTAAATAAAAAATAAAAATGGGATTTATTTGTAAAGCCTCAAAACGTAACTAATGAACCGAGGAAATGTTAGTTTAGTGCCAGGAATGCCTACATTGTTTATTCTGGGTGCTATTTTGAAATTGGAATATTTTGAACTTTGTGTTAAATTGGCCAAATTACCAATTTCCGATCACTTTATTTTGTAGTTGAAACAGTTGACTTGGCGATTTCTTGTGCTCAATCGATAGAATAGAAGTAATACTAGTAAAATAGCTAAGAATTTGGTAGACTGGAATGATGTAATTGGCCTAAAATGGAAGTCAAAGTCGGCAAAATCGCCAATTCGTAAATATCGCTGACACATCAAAATTCGCGAGAGCATAATTTCGTCAATTTTCCATCAAATTTCGTACTTTTTGTTTTATTACCTTTGCAAAAAGATTCTCTACCATTCCATAAGAAAAAATAACAAATTTTTTTTTGGAAAATTCTTGGACACTGGGGCACCACTTCAGATTTGGGCCTTGGACCCTGAAAGGGTTAAATATACACACCTACCATCCGACTTACGACCGAGTTCGGTTCCGAGAAACCGGTCGTAAGTTGAACTTTACTACTGAATATCAAAATATCATTTTTGTAATGACTATTTTATTGTTTTATTTTGGTATTTCATGTTTTACTTTACTTTTTATGGTGTTAGTACTGTATTTTATACTGTAAGGTTTAGGATAAACACTGTGTACAGCACAAACACTTGTTTATTTCCCAGAAATTTGGCATAAAAAAGCACGGTCGTAAGTCGAGCAGGTCGTAAGTCGGATGGTAGGTGTATATATATATTTTTTTTTTCAACAAGTCGGCCGTCTCCCACCGAGGCAGGGCGACCCAAAGAGGAAGAAAATCCCCAAAAAGAAAATATTTTCATCATTCAACACTTTCACCTCGCTCACACAATCACTGTTTTTGCAGAGGTGCTCAGAATACAACAGTTTAGAAGTATATACATATAAAAATATACAATATATCTCTCCAAACTGTCAATATCCCAAACCCCTCCTTTAGAGTGCAGGCACTGTACATCCCATTTCCAGGACTCAAGACCGGTTATATAAAATAACCGGTTTCCCTGAATCCCTTCACTAAATATTACCATGCTCACACTCCAACAGATCGTCAGGTCCCAAATACCATTTGTCTCCATTCTATATAACACGCTCACGCATGCTTGCTGGAAGTCCAAACCCCTCGCCCACAAAACCTCCTTAACCCCCTCCCTCCAACCTTTTCGAGGACGACCCCTACCCTGCCTTCCTTCTCCTACAGATTTATATGCTCTCCATGTCATTCTACTTTGATCCATTCTCTCTAAATGACCAAACCACCTCAACAAACCCTCTTCAGTCCTCTGACTAATACTTTTATTAACTCCACACCTCCTAATTTCCACACTCTGAATTTTCTGCACAATATTTACACCACACATTGCCCTTAGACAGGACATTTCCACTGCCTCCAACTGCCTCCTCGCTGCAGCATTTACAACCCAAGCTTCACACCCATATAAGAGTGTTGGTACTACTATACTTTCATACATTCCCTTCTTTCCCTCCATAGATAACATTTTTTGCCTCCACATATACCTCAATGCACCACTCACCTTTTTTCCTTCATCAATTCTATGATTAACCTCATCCTTCATAAATCCATCCGCTGACATGTCATCTCCCAAACATCTGAAAACATTCACTTCTTCCATATTCCTCCTCCCCAATTTGATATCCAATTTTTCTTTATCTAAATCATTTGATATTCTCATCACCTTACTCTTTTCTATGTTCACTTTCAACTTTCTACCTTTACACACATTCCCAAATTCGTCCACTAATCTTCGCAATTTTTCTTTAGAATCTCCCATAAGCACAGTATCATCAGCAAAAAGTAGCTGTGTCACTTCCCATTTTGTATTTAATTCCCCATAATTTAATCCCACTCCTCTCCCGAACACCCTAGCATTTACTTCTTTTACAACCCCATCTATAAATATATTAAACAACCATGGTGACATTACACATCTCTGTCTAAGACCTACTTTTACTGGGAAGTAGTCTCCCTCTCTCCTACACACCCTAACCTAAGCCTCACTATCCTCATAAATACTCTTTACACCATTTAGTAACTTACCACCTATTCCATATACTTGCAACATCTGCCACATTGCTCCCCTATCCACTCTATCATATGCCTTTTCTAAATCCATAAATGCAATAAAAGCTTTCCTACCTTTATCTAAATACTGTTCACATATATGCTTCAATGTAAACACTTGATCTTCACATCCCCTACCCACTCTAAAACCTCCTTGCTCATCCGCAATTCTACATTCTGTCTTACCTCTAATTCTTTCAATAATAACCCTACCGTACACTTTTTCTGGTATACTCGGTAAACTTATTCCTCTATAATTTTTACAATCTCTTTTGTCCCCCTTCCCTTATATAAAGGGACTATACACGCTGTCTGTCAATCCCTAGGTACCTTCCCCTCTTTCATACATTTATTAAACAAAAATACCAACCACTCCAATACTATGTCCCTCCCTGCTTTTAACATTTCTGTCATGATCCCGTCAGTTCCAGCTGCTTTACCCCCTTTCATTCTACGTAATGCCTCACGCACCTCCACCACACTCGCATCCTGCTCTTCTTCACTCCTAAAAGATATACCTCCCTGGCCAGTGCATGAAATTACCGCCTCCCTTTCTTCGTCGACATTTAAAAGTTCCTCAAAATATTCTCGCCATCTACCCAAAACCTCCATCTCCCCATCTACTAACTCCCCTTCTCTGTTTTAACTGTTAAATCCATTTGTTCCCTAGGCTTTCTTAACTTGTTTAACTCCAAAATTTTTTCTTATTTTCATTAAAATTCCTTGACAGTACCTCTCCCACTCTATCATCCGCTCTCCTTTTGCACTCTCTCACCACTCTTCTTATAACACTCTGCTTTGTAAATACCTCTTATAAGCTAACTTTTTCTCTTTTATCACACCCTTTACTTCATCATTCCACCAATCACTCCTCTCTCCTCCTGCACCCACCCTCCTATAACCATGAACTTCTGCCCTACATTCTAATACTGCATTTTTAAAAGTATTCCAACCCTCTTCAACCCTCCACTACTCATACTTGCACCAGCCCACCTTTCTGCCATTAGTTGCTTATATTTCACCCGAACTTCCTCCTCCCTTAGTTTATACACTTTCACCTCCCTCTTACTTGTTGTTGCCATTTTCCTCTTATCCCATCTACCTCTTACTCTAACTGTAGCTACAACTAGATAATGATCCGATATATCAGTTGCCCCTCTATAAACATGTACATCCTGGAGCCTACCCATCAACCTTTTATCCACCAATACATAATTTAACAAACTACTTTCATTACGTGCTACATCATACCTTGTATATTTATTTATCCTTTTTTTCATTAAATATGTATTATTACCAAACCTCTTTCTACACATAGCTCAATTAAAGGCTCCCCATTTTCATTTACCCCTGGCACCCCAAATTTACCTACTGCTCCCTCCACAACATTTTTTCCCACTTTAGCATTAAAATCCCCAGCCACAAGTATTCTCACACTTGGTTCAAAACTCCCCACGCAATTACTCAACATTTCCGAAAATCTCTCTCCTCTAACTTCTCTCTTCCCCAGGTGCATAAACACTTACTATAACCCACTTCTCACATCCATCCTTTATTTTACTCCACATAATCCTTGAATTAATACATTTTTAGTCCTTTTTTTCCTGCCATAGCTCATCCTTCAACATTATTGCTACTCCTTCTTTAGCTCTAACTCTTTTAGAAACCCCTGACCTAATCCCATTTATTCCTCTCCACTGAAACTCTCCCACCCCCTTCATCTTTGTTTCACTTAAAGCCAGGATATCCAGCTTCTTCTCATTCATAACATCCACAACCATCTCTTTCTTATCATTCGCACAACATCCATGCACATTCAAGCTTCCCACTTTGACAATTTTCTTCTTATTCTTTTTAGTAATTTTTACAGGAAAAGGGGTTACTAGCCCATTGTTCCCGGCATTTTAGTTGACTTTTACAACATGCATGGCTTACGGAGGAAAGATTCTTATTCCACTTCCCCATGGATATAAAAGCAAAAGTAATTAGAGCAAGAACTAAGATAAAATCAAAGAAAACCCAGATGAGTGTGTGTAAATAAACGTGTACATGTATGTTTATTGTGACCTAAGTGTACGTAGAAGTAGCAAGACATACCTGTAATCTTGCATATTTATAAGACAGACAAAAGACACTAGCAATCCTACTATCATGTAAAACAATTACAGGCTTTTGTTTTACACTCACTTGGCAGAACGGTAGTACCTCCCTGGGTGGTTGCTGTCTACCAACCTACTGTCTACAAACCTATGTATACCTGTACCTAAATAAACTTACATAATGTGCTGGCATGCAGGTACACATTAAAATCAGTGTCTTATGTCTCGAGACATCATATTAGTAATGATAATAATCACCGAGTCTCATTAAATGTCATATAATACGTTAATATACATATTTTCATTAATCCATCTATGATATTTTTTCAAAAATATATAATAAACATAATGCATAACATTTAAATACACCCCACAATAGAATAAACATAAATATGAGATGTCGTAGCCAGACTTTTACGAGTGATGGCAAGAATAACATTTTCTCTAGTCCAACATCAGAGAAAATGTGTTACTGGGGGTAATTGTAGAAAATTATTCGTTTCGTATCTTTTTTTTTTTTTAACAAGTTGGCCGTCTCCCACCGAGGCAGGGTGACCCAAAAAGAAAGAAAAAATCCCCAAAAAGAAAATACTTTCATCATCATTCAACTCTTTCACCTCACTCACACATAATCACTGTTTTTGCAGAGGTGCTCAGAACACAACGGCTTAGAAGCATATATGTATAAAGATACACAACATATCCCTCCAAACTGTCAATATCCCAAACCCCTCCTTTAGAGTGCAGGTATTGTACTTCCCATTTCCAGGACTCGAGTCCGGCTATATAAAAACCGGTTTCCCTGAATCCCTTCACTAAATATTACCCTGCTCACACTCCAACAGATCGTCAGGTCCCAAATACCATTCGTCTCCATTCACTCCTATCGAACATGTTCACGCACGCCTGCTGGAAGTCCAAACCCCTCGCCCACAAAACCTCCCTGGCCCCTTCCTTCCAACCTTCTCAAGTACGACCCTTACCCCGCCTTCCTTCCCCTACAGATTTAAATGCTCTCCATGTAATTCTACTTGGATCCATTCTCTCTAAATGACCAAACCACCTCAACAAACCCTCTTCAGCTCTCTTATTAAACACTTTTATTAATTCCACACCTTCTCCTAATTTCCACACTCTGAATTTTCTGCATAATATTTACACCACACATTGCCCTTAGACAGGACATCTCCACTGCCTCCAACCGCCTCCTCGCTGCAGTATTCACAACCCAAGCTTCACACCCATATAAGAGTGTTGGTACTACTATACTTTCATATATTCCCTTCTTTGCCTCCATAGATAATGTTTTTTGTCTCCACATATACCCCAATGCACCATTCACCTTTTTTCCCTCATCAATTCTATAATTAACCTCATCCTTCATAAATCCATTCTCTGACACGTCAACTCCCAAATATCTGAAAACATTCACTTTCTTCCATACTACTCCTCCCCAATTTGATATCCAATTTTTCTTTATCTAAATCATTTGATACCCTCATCACCTTACTCTTCTCTATGTTCACTTTCAACTTTGTACCTGTACACACACTCCCAAAATCGTCCACTAACCTTTGCAATTTTTCTTTAGAATCTCCCATAAGCACAGTATCATCAGCAAAAAGCAACTGTGTCAATTCCCATTTTGTATTAATTCCCCATAATTTAATCCCACCCCTCTCCCGAACACCCTAGCATTTACTTCTTTTACAACTCCATCTATAAATATATTAAACAACCATGGTGACGTTACACATCCCTGTCTAAGACCTACTTTTACCGGGAAATATTCTCCCTCTCTTCTACACACCCTAACCTGAGCCTCACTATCCTCATAAAAACTCTTTACAGCATTTAGTAACTTACCACCTATTCCATATACTTGCAACATCTGCCACATTGCTCCCCTATCCACTCTATCATATCGTATTTTTTTTTTTTTTTCAACAAGTCGGCCGTCTCCCACCGAGGCAGGGTGACCCAAAAAAGAAAGAAAATCCCCAAAAAGAAAATACTTTCATCATCATTCAACACTTTCACCACACTCACACATTATCACTGTTTTTGCAGAGGTGCTCAGAATACAACAGTTTAGAAGCATATACGTATAAAGATACACAACATATCCCTCCAAACTGCCAATATCGTATGTATGTAAGTTTATTCAGGTATACACAAATACAGTTACATAGATTATCATACATAACAGCATGTGTGTAGAGAACCTCGGATAACCCAAAAAAATCAGAGGGAGTGACTTCCATTGCCTTCACTCAGAATGTCATTTCTTCTAAAAATGGTGTTACATGAGAATGGGAGTGTTCTTCTTTATTTATTCTACCGTATCAATGTAGAGACAACTTGTACACAATGTAACTTGTACACAAACCGGACATGTACACTTCGTTTGTTTGCAAAACTTAAATTTGCCTGGTTTGTTTACATAACTCTACACCTGTCCTCTCTCATTCTCTCTCTCTCATTTATTCGTTTTATCTCGTTTACTCACCTCTGACCCTACATTAAGACTACAAATATTTTAAGGTAAGTAATGAATACATTATGTGTGTATTTTACTTTTTTATTGTTTTCTGATGCCTAGTTCTGTTGCTAACTTAATATATGTTAGTGTAAACTTGTTATCTAGTATGCATTTATAAGGGAAAAAAGGGTGTTCCACTTTACGGCGATTTTTGCTTTACGGCAGTAGCCTGGAACCTAACCTGCCATATAAGTGGGGCCCAACTGTATCATAGCTTACTATGAACACTGAACACAACCTGAGTACATGCCACTGGTGACCTTAATCTAGGTGGAAGGACCTTGACGAAATAGTTTACTCTTGAGCGTACAGTACTGACCTTGTCCTGGGCCACGTCGAAGATGAAAGGAGTGTTCCAGACTGGGGAGGGACCTGGTGTGGGCTTGGTGTGGTGTACAGCTAAAGTCTCCTCACCTCTCTTCACCACAACTTCCATCTTGTACTCTTCGCTTCCCCCCTACAATGTTACGGAGATTGTACCATATAGCATTCCTCATCTATTTTGTTCTGTGTTGCTCAGCCCAACATGCCCACTTATAGCTGTTTTTCCCTGTTCGTATAGGTGCTGTTCCCTGTTTGTTTAGCTGTTCCCTCTTTGTATAGGTGTTCCCTGTTTGTATAGCTGTTCCCTGTTTGTATAGCTGCTATTCCCTGTTCTGTTGTTCCCTGTTTGTATAACTGTTATTCCCATTTCTCTTGTTCCCTGTTTTGTATAGCTGTTATTCCCTGTTCTCTTGTTCCCTGTTTGTATAGCTGTTTCTTGTTCATATAACTGTTATTTCCTGTTTGTATAGCTGCTGTTCCCTGTTTGTATAGCTGTTGTTCCCTGTTATACATCCTCACAAACCCACATATAAATATTGTTTTTATTACACATTCCTACACAATTACAAATTACTATTGCTCACATTTACATATTCTCACTCACAAATGCAATACGTGGTACAGTATCTAGTACATGTGGTGCACCCATATTTTCAGATTAATTAAAATAGTTCTATATATGGATTTGTTGTACAGTATTTTTTACCCCCTCAGTTTATTTTATCAAATCTATTAATGTTTTATATGCTGGAGTGTGAGCAAGGTTACATTAATGAAGGGATTCAGGGAAACTGGTTAGTTGGACTTGAGCCCTGGAGGTGGGAAGTACAGTGCCTGTACACTGAAGGAGGGGTAAGAATGTTATAGTTCAGAGGGCCATCTGAATTGTGATCTGTGTGTGTACCTCTGGCAAGACAGCTATTGAATGAATGATTGTGAATGTGTTGGTCACCCTACCGTGGTAGGTGATGGCCGGTGTGATTAAAAAAAAATGTGGCCCATTGGTGCACATGAAGTGTTCCTCTATGTTTTTGGTAAAGATCATTTGATTTATGTGGCTTAAAAAATATAAAAGTAACAGCAGTAATAAACATTTGAATTTTCCATTTTATTTAATTTTTCATTGTTCTTGTATTAAATGTGCAGTATTGTATTTTTTATGACACTGGCACAGTGTGTAATGTTGTTATTTTAATTGGCCAAGAAATTGGGATTTTTGCCTTGAGGATTGTAGCCATACCATACGTTATACAGCCTCTCGTCACTTAGCGACGTACTTGTTTACCAATGACTCAGATTTACGACGGGCTCTCTAACCAGTATGCATACCTAAATAATGTATATTAGAGCTGATTTCCTCTGTTCTGTTTATTACAATATACAGTATACTACTGAATAAACATTTAAAAATATACTAAAAAAATTATAAATGGTGCAAAGGTGACATTAAAACAATATCAAAGATGGTTGACACAAACCCACTACCATTATAGTATATTCCTCACTTAGCAACGAATTCATTTACCAGCGTGGTCTTAGGAATGGAACTCCGTTGTTAAGTGAGGAGAGGCTGTATATTAAATCAAATTTTCTCTGATTTTGCAATTAGCACTACAATTCTGCAACACTTTACAGTAGAGTCAACAAATTTGTTAGTATTAATTTCCCAGAGATTTTCACAAGAAGAGTAATGCTAAATTCTGTTAGTATTATAAATACAGCATTACAGTATTTTAGATAAGGGTACAATTTGTGTTTCAGAAAGCATATTTCTAAATATTGCTCCAATCTGGTTAATTTTGGCATTCATGAGTGAATGTTCAGAAAGGCAAGAGAATCGTTCATTGAAAATCCATCAAGCCCATTTGGAAATAAATTTTATGACTAGTTTTCTATTTAAGGTATCATGGGTCAAGGAATATGAGAAGTGGTACATAAAATGCCAAGAAACAATGGAATGGGCCTCAGTAGAAAGCTCATGATTAATCAAAGCTATATATGGGAAGATCTTCAGTGAAAATATTGCGTAACTGAAGTGTGTGTATTAGGAATGTCTCTAATGTAGTGTTCAGCTGTACTTGCTCGACTGTCTGACGTGTTCATTGCTTTGAACATTTCTCCTTGCTTCTATCTGTGACGTTTCCCTATTTATGAGTTTACATAATCTTCTGTTAAACTGATTTTTTTATATCTGTTTTAATAGATTACGAGAGACCAGCTGACCTTACTGATGAGGACACTCTGAGCTCGGAGGAGGACCACCTTTATCCGTGCCTGCCAGGTGCCTGTCACCTGGTACTGGACGGCCACCTGCACTTGCCCCCACACTGCCTCACTGCCAGCTCCACTGCTGACACTTGCCCAGGGACTTGACTCCTACAAAAGCAGGAACACAAGGTACAGTATAATGCTATATGAATCTTGTCTAGTGCTGAAACTGATGAAATTACAGGTGCTCCTCGAGTTACAATTGGGTTACATTCCGATGAACCCATCGTAAGTTGAAATATTGTAAGTCAAATATGAATATAAAGGTAAGTAAATAAATAAATACTGTTACTGAATAAATAAATATACAAATACACTGTAAATAACTTAAATACCAGTATTGAAAAGTAAATAAATGAATACAAGTTACAGACTTGCTGCCTTTATGCTGGGTAATTATCTTAAGTTTTCTCTGCACAGGAACTGCTTTTGCACCATCATTAAGTTGCACCACTGTAAGTCGAGGAGCACCTGTATTTTTTAAATACATATTGCGAATTTTGGAAATCGGCAACTTTTTTCATCAAAATATTGGCTTGATTTTTATGATTTGGCTTAGAAATCAGTAGTCGTATGAAATGCCTCCCGATAATGGACATTGCTCCTGCTCATCCTCCAGACTTGGAAGAGCAAATGGTGAAGGAGTTTAATTTCATCACAAGGAAGTTCTTGCCCTCTAATACCACTCCTCTCCTCCAGCTCATGGACCAGCAGATCATTTCAAACTTCAAAAAACTCTACACCAAAGCTATGTTTCAAAGGTGCTTTAACCCTTTCAGGGTCCAGAGGCCAAATTTCAAAGGGTGCACCAGTGTCCAAGAATTTTCAAAAAATAATTTTGTTTTTTCTTATGAAATGGTAGAGAATCTTTTTCTGATGGTAATAAAACAAAAAGTACGAAATTTGATGGAAAATTGACGAAATTATGCTCTCGCGAATTTTGACGTGTCAGCCATATTTACGCATCGGCGATTTTACGGACTTTGACTCCCATTTTAGGCCAATTACATTATTCCAGTCAACCAAATTCTTAGCTATTTCACTAGTATTACTTATATTCTGTCGATTGAGCACAAGAATTCGCCAAGTCAACTATTTCAACTACAAAATAAAGTGATCGGAAATTGGTAATTTGGCCAATTTATTGCAAAGTTCAAAGTATTCCAATTTCAAAATAGGGTTCAGAATAAACAATGCAGGTATTCCTGGCACTAAATTAACATTTCCTCTGTTCATTAGTTATGTTTTCAGGCTTTACTAATGAATTTCATTTTTATTTTTTATTCACATAATGAATTTTTATTCAAACCAAAAAATAGAAGATTTACTGTTATGCAATATTGTAATAATTGTATAAAGAATATCAGCACATTTGTGAACGTATATTAGATCCACCAGCTGGCGTGTATTAGATGTGTGAGGTCATTTGTTTACTCTTGAACATCGGCAAAAATTTAACATTTCCGCCACTTTGAGCTCAGTTTCAACCATTTCCAGTGCTGAAACCAATAAAAATCATCTTTATTTCTATAATATGTCTTCCATTCTATCAAATGAGACCAAGAAATCGCAAATACACTATAAAAAAACATACGAAAAAACACTGCAAAGTCGCTGTTTTAATCGAAAATTACGATCTCAGTTTTTTTCCTCTCATTATGCACTATGTGCTGCAGGATTTGTTTTATGTGGTGCACACATACCACATAGATGTATTCTCTCATATCAAGGCCAAAATTTACCGCTCACAGCTTATCAGAGTGAGCTGAGCTCATGTTATAGATCTACGGTTTGGACCCTCAACGTAAAGCCGTAGATCTACGGCACGGACCCTCAAGGGGTTAACATACCTTGGACTCTGAATTGACCCTAAGAGAGTTCTGGAAAGATCACTTCAATATCCTCCATTGCATAAACCTTACAAGTAAGGCTTGGCAGGGAATGACTTCCAGGATGATGAACTCTGTTTGGAGAAAATTGTGGCCAGAATGTGTTCTCGACAAAGATTTTGAAGGGTTTGAGGCTGACCCTGACAACCCTATGCCAGTTGTGGAATCTATTGTAGCACAGGGAAAGTCACTGGGGTTGGAGGTTAGTGGGGAGGATGTGGAAGAGTTGGTGGAGGACCACAGTGAAGAGCTAACCACTGAAGAGCTGCTAGACCTTAATCTGCAACAGCAACAGACCACAGCTCAGGAAATTGCTGCAGAGGAGGAGGAAGAGAGAGGGAAGAAGTTGCTTTCTTCAGAGATTAACGAGATGGAAAGATGGAAAGATTTATGGAGGAACATCACCCTGACAAAGCTGTTGCAGGCCGTGTATGCGACATGTTCAACGACAACGTCTTGTCTCATTTTAAGCAAATTTTAAAGAAACGCCAGAAGCCGACCTTTCTCGAACAATTTTTTGAGTGACTGGTCCAGTGACTCTCAAGCTGATCCTAGTGACAGTAAAAAACAAAGAAGGGAAGTAACCTGGAAAAGGACTTGGTACCTGAAGTCTTGAAGGGGATTCCCTTTCCAGACAATAGTAACTCTTCCATCCTCTCCCCTCCTCCCGTCTTCCATACATCAACAACTCTCCAGTGAAGTTATTGTTTTATTCTTCATGTCTCATTGTTTTCTGTGTAGATAAGTGTACATTTAATGTAAAAAAAATATTTTTTAAATACTTTTGGGTTTCTGGAACTCAATTCAATTCAAAGTTTATTCTCTATAAAGATTACAATGTTGAATTTACAGAATTTGGTTGTTGTGTGGTTTACATGTAGTTAAATAATGATTACAGAGTGTACCACTAGAACGCTTAGCATGGCTAGGCATTTCGGGCAGACTTAGGAACGGATTAATTTGATTTACATTATTTCTTATGGGGAAAATGGTTTTGAAAATCGTGAATTTTGAATTTCAGCAAACACTCCAGAATGGATTAATCACGAAATTCAAGGGTCAACTGTACCTTCTTTTTGAGCATGATGGGCTTGGTGACAGTGCGTGGTGTGTCTGGCTGGAGGTTGGCTTCACCCAGGGCATAGCGCAGCTCCCCCACCTGTTTGTTGAGGAGGTGCTTGCTTCGCCGCACCTGCAGCCCGAACACCAGCATACTCTGCCGAAGCTGCTCCACTGATACCTCTGACAACACACACAAGTTTTAAATTAAAATTAAATTAATTTTTATTTCTTTGCATAATATACAATGTGTGATTTACATGTAATAAAATATTATTGAGTATAAAAAAAGCCACTAACATGCCTGAGCATTTCAGTCAGAATAATACAGTGGAACCTCTACTTGCGAGTTTAATCCGTTCCACGTCCTTGCTTGCAACTGGATTTGCTCGTTTGCAGAGTCAATTTTCCTTATTTAAATTAGTTGAAATGCAATTAATCTGTTCCAGTGGAATTCTGTACTTCAACAATATCGCTAATATCAACTCTACAGCTTATTTATCTATCTCAATTCATCTAATATGACATAATAAACAATATAAATAACATAGAAACCTGATATATACTCTAAAATGAATAAAATATGTCATTCATGTAGTGGTATGGACGGTGTCGGCAGTGGACGAGAGTTTGTCTGGAGACCGGGCAAAATACTTAATGAATAATTTTGCTAATATCATCTATACTGCTTATTTATCTATCACAGTTCATCTAGTATGACATAACAAGCAATATGAATAACATAGAAACACGATATATACTCTAGAATGAATAAAATATGTCATTAGGGGTGGCTAATTGCTGAGAAGTGAACTCCATTATTTGTGTTTAGATTTCTTTCATTATTATTATTATTATTATTATTATTATTATTATTATTATTATTATATAAATAATTTGTAATTTTTATTCACACAAAAAATATAAGATTTACTGTTATTCCTTATTGCAGTTATTGTATAAATAATGTCAACTCATTCACGACTACATGTTGGAATGGACAGTGACTTGATTTGTTTACTCTGAAACAGCCAAGCAATGGACCATTTCTCCTAGGTTGAGCTCTATTTCAAGGTACTTTTCATTGTGAAAGCAATCAAAATCATATCAATTTCTGTAATATATCTTCCATTCTATCAAATGAGACCAAAAAAAAGAGAATTAAACCATAAAAATCATTTGAAATTACCACTAAGGGATGGCTAATTGCTGAGAAGTGAACTCCATTATTTATGCTTAGATTTCTTTCATTTTTGGTGTATGTTAAGAAGCATCTTTCCATCATACATTGCCCAAGTTTCAATAAGATAGTCCAACAAACAAATGAGATACAATTCCCGAGATCAAGAGCAAGAGCCCCTCACCAGTGTCAAGGAACCTGCCTTGAGGTTTGCTCGCTTGTGGAAATTTTGCTCGCCTATGGAAGCAAAAAATCGACCCATCGACTGCTCGTATTTGGAAAAACTCGCACGTGGACACGCTCGCAAGTAGAGGTTCCACTGTACTAGTGTTTACACACTACTTGAAACTAGACATAACATATTAACATAATGTGAACACATTCTGTTTTAATGGTTGTAGGGATTACTGATATTAAAAATAACATTATATTGTTTTTCATAAGTTAGTGACAGAATATGGATATATAGTTTTCACATATTTAGCTGATGTTTGGATGTGTTTGGGGGAGATTTTGTTAAGGTGAGCAGTGATGCAGTGCTGGGTCACTCTGCTCTGCATGACTGTCTCTGGCAGACTCATTGAATTGCAAAGTGATGGGAATAATTTTTTTTTAAGTGTCATTTTTCCAACTCTGCAGAAAAACCCACCTAGGCAGGGTGAATCACCTAGGCAGGGTGAATCACCTAGGCAGGGTGACTCACCTAGGCAGGGTGACTCACCTAGACAGGGTGGCCCACCTAGACAGGGTAGCCTACCTAGGCAGCATGGCCCACATCGCAGGGTGATGATGCACCTTGGCAGGGTGACCTACCTACCTTGGCAGGGTAACCCAATGTAACAATCACCCTCCCTTTCCTACAAAGGGAGGGAGAGGGGGGGATACAATGCTGCTGTTGAAAGCCTCTTGATTCAAGGAATTGGAGTTACTCTCCCCTTGCATCAAACCTCACTACCTTCTATTTTTAAACACTGTACAACTCCCACAGACCTAGGGCTTCCCTATGAAGCCCTAAATAATTAAAATTTATGACTCCATAACCTACATTGAGTTTTAAGTAGTGTGTAAACATTAGTAGTAGTCTGTCCGAAATGCTCGGGCATGTTAGTGGCTTAAAATGCAAAATATAAAATGCAAATCACACATTGTAACCTTTGCAAAGAAATAAAAATTGTATTATAACCAGAGAGGATATTAGTCTGATGTACCAAGAGTTGGGTAGGCACATGGTATAGGAGTCAGCACAATTGTTTTGAAGATCTTTCTTTCAACATACCAGCCGTATCCCACCGAGGCGGGGTGGCCCAAAAGGAAAAACGAAAGTTTCTCCTTTCAAATTTAGTAATATATACAGGAGAAGGGGTTACTAGCCCCTTGCTCCCGGCATTTTAATCGCCTCTTACGACATGCATGGCTTACGGAGGAAGAATTCTGTTCCATTTCCCCATGGAGATAAGAGGAAATAGACAAGAACAAGAACTAGAAAGAAAATTGAAGAAAACCCAGAGGGGTATGTATATATATGCTTGTACTGTATGTGTAGGTGACCTAATGTAAGTAGAATTTAAAAAAATGTACCCGAAATCTTGCAT